GAGTGCTGGGATTAAAGGCGTGCGCCACCAACTCCCGTCTAGAATTTGACACTTCTAAAAAATAATAATGATTTTGTTTTGCTTAGAGACACAATCTCTCTCTCTCTCTCTCTCTCTCTCTCTCTCTCTCTCTCTCTCTCTCTCTCTCTCTCTCTCTCTCTCTCTCTCTCTCTCTATTATATATATATATAATTTCCGGCTGGCCTTGAACTCACAGAGATCCACCTGACTCTGCCTCCCAAATGCTGGGTGTTAACTTTGTTTTTAATTAATTGTGTATACTTAAGTATGGTTGCGTGTGGGTTTGTGCACGGGAGTGTAGGTGCCCATGGGGGCAAGAAGAGGTTATCAGGTCCCCTGGAGCTGGAGTTACGGACCTTGTGAACATCTCACCCGGGTGATGGGTACCGAATTAGTGTCCTCTGCAGGGTCAGTATGTGCCCATAGCTGTGGAGCCATCTCTCCAGACGCAGGATTTGACTTTTTAAGGACATTTTATGAAAACTTTCTGCCGACGTTAGCCACAATTAGCGTTTCCCAAATATGTTTAGCTTTGAACTAAAACAAGCATTTAATAGCTGAGGTGGGGGAAGGTCTTGGGACGATAGAAAGTGCTTTTGGTCCGAAGTTTCTGGATCGATTCCTTGAATCTCTTGGTGTTACCACTTCTGTTCTGCAAACCATGACCCAATGCTGTTCTCAAGAAAGGCATTCTCCTCCGAGAAAGAAGTTAACATTGGTCATTTGCACTTTGATGTAAAAACTGCTTAAAAATAAGCTATTTTTTACATTTACATTAACCATTTTACAATTTTCATAATTCATTTAAAATGCATTTTTTCTCAGTTTAATTCTCAGAAAATATTTGAAGGATGTTTTTAGCCCTGCTTACCAAGGCGTTGCATCTGCGGGAGACCTCAAAGTTGGCTTGCCCAACAGGGTCCTTACTGAAAGAGCCAACACTGGCTCTAGGACCTGAATCTTAGAGTTGTAAATTTTCTTAAACTGATTGGCTTGACTGTTGAACTTTTTTTTTTTTTTTGATAAATAACGGCAGCTTTAGATGCAAAGGGGTTAGTTACTTGGTTATTTTAAAAGCAGGTCTGGAGCCAAATTCTAGCACTCACACTGACATATACTAAGCAAACAATATAAAAACAGCTCTAAAATCCTAATCCGGTGCTCTCACAGAAGCAAGCCTCAGTTTTCTGAAGTCCCTGAAGCCCACACCCCACTGCTCTTAAGGGGGAATGTCGTAGTTTTGCATAGGAGGGATTTTGTTACCACATTTAAACACCCCATGTCCGCTGAAACCAAGGCTGGAAACCAGACTTAGTTCTCAGACCTCAAAAACCGAGCAACCCAGAGGCTCTGCAAGCCAGGACCAACCTGGGACTCACACTCTTCATGCAAGGTTTGGTGGGGGGAGGTCTCCAGCATTCTGACATTCATTATGCTAATAGACAAGCCACTAATTTCACTAATGGAAGCCCATTTCTCATTTGCCAATTAGCAAATCCCCTAGAGTCTGCAGGGGGTTAAGGCAGCTGGGAGTGTTGGAGGAAGCCACCTTTGGAGTGTGGGATTTCTGTATAAGGTGACCCCTTCTTAAGTTTCTATACTCAGTACGGTTGCCTGCCTGCCTGCCCTGGGATGCAATTTAAATGCATTTCAGAAGCACACAGCTGCACTATATTATATTGTCTCTGCCCAAGAATTCCAGAGTAAATTGCAGACATCCTCAGTGGATGCTGGCTATTCTGGGCCACCAGTCGGAGGGCAGGCATTATGTAGCATGGCATTAAGACTCTTCCTGGAGGGTTGTCTGGGTGCAGGCGAGAGATCACCCACAAGCCCTCAGCTCCCTGCCTTTCCTTTGACCTCAGAAAACCCCACCTGCCGGCATTTCACGTCTATTATAGTAGAGGAGATCACCCATGGAAGGGTCTTCCAGTCAATGTCACAGATGTGCGTTTTATCCAAAACTGGATTCCGGGTCACCTTATCTGCAGCCGGTAGAGAATTTTGGTTCTTCCCTTATCTTCAAAGGGAGAAGTAAGCATTGGCTGGTTTAAACAAGACATCATTTAGTGATGTCAAGCCCAGACTCCTGCAATCCAGGATTCCTTAGCCCAATCCCCTTCACCTGGTGCAGTGATGGTGGCTTTGATAGTATCAGGCTTGGGGCATTTGCTCTTTTGTCACAATTGTTGCCTAACTTGGCTGTGGATAGTCAACGCTGAGTGTCAGTTTGAGAGCTCTTCTCCCTGGTGGCCTGCGAAGCAGCTGTTCCCTGAAGGGAATAGAACTGATCATCAATCAGGAAGAGTCTGTGGAAAGAAAAGGGTTGGACTGTCTACTACAACTCACAGGAAGGGACACTTTCCTGTTTATGCCTTCTAGTGTGAAACTTAAAAAAAAAAAAAAAGGTTTGGAAAGCAATCTCGTCATGCTATACCATCAACCCAAACAGATTTTGATGTTATTTTACTAGGCAGAATTTCGCTGTGTAGCACCAGCTGTTCTGGAACTCACTCTGGAGATCAGATCTGCCTCAAGCTCACAGAGATCCGCCTGCCTCTGACTCCTGAGTGCTGGGGATTACAGGTGTGCACCGCCGCCACACCTGGACTCCAAATTTTGCATTTCAAGCAATGTTTTGGTTCTTTCGAGACAGGGTTTCTCTTCTGTGACTTTGGAGGCTGCCCTGGAAGTAGCTCTTGTAGACCAGGCTTGTCTCGAACTTAACAGAGATCTGCCTGTCTCTTGCCTCCCGAGTGCTGTGATTTAAAGGTCGTGTGCCACCGCCCACCCCCCACTCAAGCAAAGTTTTTTAAAGTTATGTTTCATCATTTTGTGAGGTGGGGTGCACATTCATGCCATCTACTGTCATGTGTGTTGTGTGTAGATCAGAGAACAGCTTGCCAGAGTTGGCACTTTCCTTGTACCATGCAGGTCCCGGGGATTGAACTCAGGTCATCAGGACTGGTGGCTGGCATTTTAGCTTGCCTACCCATTTAATCAGTGTTTTTGTTTGTTTGTTTTTGTTTTTTAAGTAGCTTTTGTTGTTTTGATGCAAGGTCTTTCTCTGTAACACAGACTGTCCTTAAACTCTTGGTAGCCTTCCTGCCTCAGTCTCTCAAATTCTGGGATTATAGGGGTGAGCTACCTTGCCCAGTTATCATTCGAGCATATGTTTGTGTGTGTATGGTTGAGAAAGTGTGTGAAGGCCTGAGATCAAATTCCCATGTCCTTTGATTTTTTTTTGAGTTGCTCACTGGGATTTAGGGTTCTCAAATTAGGCCAGGCTGGCTGGTTGACAGCCCCAGGGATCCCCCCATGTCTGCATCCCCTGCACAGGGATTACAAGTGTGTGCTACCATAGCTGACTTGTTTTACAAGGGTGCCAGGCTCGAACTCAGGTCCTCTGTCAAGCTCCATACCGACGGAGCCATTTCCAACCCCTATCTTTTCTTTTTCCCCAAATCTCAGTTTAACAGATGACAAAAGACATAATACCATAGTACTAGTACTTGTGTTGTGTTTTTTCTTTCTTTCTTTTTTAATTTTATTTATTTATTTATTTATGTATTTAGGTTTTTGGAGACAGGGTTTCTCTGTATTGTTTTGGAGGCTGTCCTGGAACTCTCTCTGTAGACCAGGCTGGCCTCGAACTCACAGAGATCCGCCTGCATCTGCCTCCCGAGTGCTGGGATTAAAGGCGTGTGTCACCAGCGCCCGGCTTGTGTTGTCATTTCTAACTCAAAGCCCATATTTTGTTTTTGATAAAGCAAAAAAAATAAAATATATTGCCAAGTGCTCTTTTCAGGTTTTCAACATTTCCTTTCCAGCCGCTTCTAGCTCATGAGGTGATCTAGACACCATTTCTGAGTTCTTGAAGGAGCTGTCGGTGCGTCGGCTTGGCACTCTTGAGTTGTGACGTGCTTGGGAGAAAAGGACAGGGCTGAGGCCGGAGCCAAAAGTCAGTTCCTTGAAAGTGCTGTGGAAGATGGGTAGGGCGCTTCTATTTTAGGGACTAACAGGGCTCCAATAGGGTCAAGAGCTTCTTTTGGCTTCACCCTATGTAAACTCTGGAATAGACTCATAGTCCATGGGCAGCATGGGAAATCTCCGCTTTGCTTCAGGACGGGGCTTGTCACCTGGGGCTTGAGGTTGCTGCTGCTCATTTCATCTGCCCCGCAAATTACATACCCTGCCTGTTTAATGAGCATCAGTGAGTGAATGCCTTTTGGTTCTCTTTATAGGACACCATCTTCCTCTGAAGTTGTTTTGAGGTGTTTCAACTTTATTGTGTTCCCACCACCCTCCTATTACTTTCTACTTTTCCTTCCTAAAGGGAGAGGGGAGGGAGGGAGGAAGAGAGAGAGAGAGAGAGAGAGAGAGAGAGAGAGAGAGAGAGAGAGAGAGAGAGAGAGAGGACATACTGCTTTTCCGGTGGTTCACCACTGGCTGGCTGAAGCTGGAGGCTGGAGTGGCTCTCACCTTCCGGCGCCCTTCCCTGATTGGTCTGCTTTTTCTGTAATCTCTTTCCGTGGAGGTAGCCAGCTTTGGCTCGAGTTTACTGGAATTGAATGTCTGGCAACAAGTTTCTACATTGAAAAACTTCTGTTATTTAGTTTTTTTAACTCCTGCCTCCCAGTGCTGGAGAGAGTGAACCTAGGGCGTGACTTCCCTGCTAGACAAGTGTATAGACAAGCGTGTATCCTCAGTGTGTCCCTGTAATTCTTCATGATGTGAGTAGAAGGTACCGACGTCCACCTCATGAAACCTGTCTTTGCTTTCAATGGTTTTAAAACGTCAGTGGAGGACCGAGGATGCAGCTTGGTGCTAGCATTTGCATGGCAATGACAGAGGGCCGCCCTCCCACATAAAGTGAAGGAAGGTGGCAGCAAAAACTGTCACTGATGAGTGAATTTCTTGGCATCGACATTCAGAAACGTGCGTTTAACCCCTACTCGTGTTTTTCCTCTTTATTCTAGAAGCCTACCCAGCTTTCTGAGGATGCTAACCGGCTGAGAGGCAAGCAAGACAACTGTGGTGACATCCACCCGGAGCCTGCTGCCGCCAGCTCTCTCTCCCCAGGTCACAAAAACATGGAAATTGAAGCGTCTGCGGCAGAATGTAAGAGTGTACCCGGCATCACCTCGACCCCACACTCCAAGGACCACTCCTCCCCTTCCTATTCTGCCTCGCACAACGGCCTCCCCACCCATCACCATGAGTCCTTAGACAACGATGTCGCCCCGGAGATCCAATATCTAGACGAGGTGCTGGAGGCCAACTGCTGTGATTCCTCCGTGGATGGGACTTACAACGGAATCTCCTCCCCGGAGCCCCGCGCAGCCGGACCGGTGAGCAGCCTGGGCTCACCTGCCTGTACACCTGCCGCTGCCCAGGCAGAAGAACCCACCGAGAAAGCATCCGGCGGGCAGGTGCCTCCTCTCGTGGGGCTCAGTAGAAGCCCTCCTGACACCATGGCCGAAGGAGAAAGAGCCAATGGACTCTCCGCTGACCAGCCCCAAGGCATGCTGGGGGACGGCCCGCAGGCACCTGCCAGCCCCAGCTCCTCTACCGGCTCCCACGGCTCCTCCCGGGACGGGGAGCTCACGCTCACCACACTGAAGAAGGAGGCCAAGTTCGAGCTGCGCGCCTTCCACGAGGACAAGAAACCCTCCAAGCTCTTTGAGGAGGACGAGCGCGAGAAGGAGACGTTCTGCGTGCGCAAAGTGAGACCCTCCGAGGAGATGCTGGAGCTGGAGAAGGAGCGGAGGGAGCTCATTCGGAGTCAGGCCGTGAAGAAGAACCCCGGCATCGCGGCCAAGTGGTGGAATCCCCCCCAGGAGAAAACCATCGAGGAGCAGCTGGACGAGGAACACCTGGAATCGCACCGGAAGTACAAGGAGCGGAAGGAGAGAAGGGCGCAGCAGGAGCAGCTGCAGCTGCAGCAGCAACAGCAGCAAACGCCCCTGCCCCAGCTCTGCACAGCCCCAGCTACTCATGAACACCTAGATGGCATCGAACACGCCAAGGAGGACGTGGTCACCGAGCAGATCGACTTCTCTGCTGCCCGCAAACAGTTCCAGCAGATGGAGAATTCCAGGCAAACGCTGGCCAAGGGCCAGAGCACGCCAAGGCTGTTCTCCATCAAGCCTTTCTACAGACCTCTTGGATCCATCAACTCAGACAAGCCTCCCACCATCTTGCGACCAGCCGCTGCCGGGGGACCTCCGGAAGACAGTAGCCCGCAGGCAGCCAAGGCGCAGAAAGCGCCCTGTGTTTCCGACGGCCAGTCTGCAGGAGGAGGTCCAGGTAGCGCCGCCACTCAGGGAAAGGAAGGGCCGTACAGCGAGCCCTCCAAACGAGGGCCCTTGTCTAAGTTGTGGGCAGAGGATGGGGAGTTCACTAGCGCCCGGGCCGTTCTTACCGTAGTCAAGGATGAAGACCACGCGATTATGGACCAGTTTTCAAGATCCGTCAACGTGTCTTTGAACCAAGAGGAGCTGGACTCGGGCCTGGATGAGTTGTCAGTGAGGTCCCAGGACACCACTGTTTTGGAGACCCTGTCCAACGACTTCAGCATGGACAACATAAGTGACAGCGGGGCTTCCAACGAGACACCCACTGCCCTCCAGGAAAACTCGCTGGCTGATTTCTCTCTGTCTCAGACCCCCCAGTCAGACAACGCCTCAGAGGGCGGAGAAGGGGTCTCCAAGTCATTCAGCGACCACGGCTTCTATTCTCCTTCCTCCACACTGGGAGATTCCCCGTCGGTTGATGACCCCTTGGAGTATCAGGCCGGGCTCCTGGTGCAGAACGCCATTCAACAAGCCATAGCGGAGCAGGCAGATAAGGCGGAGTTGCGCACCAGCAAGGAGGGGTCAGAACAGCAGGGACCTGAAGCCACAGTGCAGGAAGCTGAAGGCCAGGCCCATGCCGGCGCCGAGGCCGAGAAACCCCAGGGCGTGTTTGCACCGCCTCAGGTGTCCTCTCCCGTTCAAGAGAAAAGGGATGTGTTACCAAAGCCCCTCCCTGTGGAGGACAGGGCACTCAGGGAAACGGGGCCCCCCCAGCCACTGACAGCTGCACAGCCCGGTGGTCCCGTCAACATGGAAGAGAGCAGGCCTGAAGGAGGCTATTTCAGCAAGTACTCAGAGGCAGCCGAGCTGAGAAGCACAGCCTCCCTCCTGGCTACGCAAGAGTCCGACGTCATGGTCGGGCCCTTCAAACTGAGGTCAAGGAAGCAGCGGACGTTGTCCATGATCGAAGAGGAGATCCGAGCAGCCCAGGAAAGGGAGGAGGAGCTGAAGCGGCAGAGACAAGCGGCGGCGCAGAGCAACCCCAGCCCCAGGGCCAAGAACGTCCCGTCGCTGCCGCCTTCTAGGACCACCAGCTGCAAAACCGCTCCAGGTGAGTGACGGCCGCATCCTGTATGTACCCAGGTGTCACACCGAGCAAACCGCTGCTGCTCACACCGTTACGTGTGGAGCCTCCGGTATGCCTGTGGCGGGGAGGATTTCAGCAACAGGGGAGTTAAGGGAGGATTTCAGCAACAGGGGAGTTAGGGAGTCAGCGGCAAAGGTGCCAAGCTTGGGTGGTGGTTTGCTGTTGCTCAGCGGACACAAGGGCTCCTTGCCTCTCAGTCTGCCTTGTCTTGATTTATTGGACAGATTCTTTTTCTTTTTTGCTCCCCCCACTCGGAGGGCTGCTTCTTGGCCAAGTGTGGTATAGACCTCGGTAGAGTGAGCCCATGTGCCATCTGTGTCTTCAAGTCCAAAAGCTAGAGTTCAGTTAAACCCATCTAATTAGGGGAGTGTGTTCTACCAACCCCTTTGGGGATGCTGGCCTCCCTCCCGGCAGTGATGGATCATGACTTGGGGCTGCAGAGGGCAGATATTCTGTCCATCTTCTCTGGCTTCCTTTATGTGACACAACCAGTTACAAGCATGCAGTGATAGACCGCATATAAGGTAGCGATCCCGTAAGATACCACCCGCGTGACATTATACCCATCTTGGTCTCCAAGTCTACTCTGCGATGCTCACACCACGAGGTGGCCTAACAGATGCCTTCTTCAGACATTTCCTCACAATGTCTCCCCAGCTTCCCGACCTCAGGCTGTCCACGAGCATACTCTGGAGTTAGGTCATCTCCATCTATCCTTGTCCATTTAGAAAAGCGAGGTTACCAGGAGCAAAAGGGCCGTGTTTAGTCTCCCCCTCATTGCCTGAGCAGCCCCTTTCTTGAATTGTTGGTATAGACGGCTGCTATCAATTAGGGCAATGCCGTGGTTGCCGCTGTGGCTAACAATATGACCAGAGGCGTTTGTTTCCTGTGTGGATGTGATAGCAATTGGGGGGGGGGGGGTCTATTCATCTTAACATTGGAGATGTGCTTCTCTGGGCATGGTCAGAGTTAGTCCATGCGTTGTTATGGTTTCATGCTGACATAAGTGTAGACCTTAGAAGACGAAAGCATTAGAAAATATTTCCATACCATTCCTGACCCCCAAGTGTATTATTATGTGTTTTTACAGTGGACTTGTTGGGAAACTGATCTTCCATCAAAGACGGTTTGAGAAGCATTATGTTAAAGTATAATTACTGTTTAACCTGGGTTGTTAGATCTCAGTTCCTTCATATTGACACTTTGACTTCCATCAATTTACAATGGCACAGACTCACTCTATCATTAACTTCTAAATTCTAATTTCAAACCTAAAGGAAAGCTCTCAAGTAAGGTACAAATATGGTTTTATTCTGGGCTGTTTGAGAATCACGATGCCCTTGGCGCACACTCTATATTGGATCTTTCTGATGCTTTCATATGAATAATTTCACCTTTGGTAGGGGAAGGACCACCAAATTGATGCTGCCTCCACACAGGGCCTAAGCAAGTAGCACATGGTGTTAGATTCTCCCAGGATGGGCAGATTTAGCGCTGACCACTCAATATTACTTTTTTGTTTTGTTTTGTTTTGCTTTGCTTTGTTTTTTTTTTTTTTTTTTTTTTGAGACTGGGTTTCTCTGTGGCTTTGGAGGCTGTCCTGGAACTAGCACTTGTAGACCAGGATGGTCTTGAACTCACAGAGATCCGCCTGCCTATGCCTCCTGAGTGCTGGGATTAAAGGCATGTGCCACTACCGCCTGGTCATTCAATATTACTTTTGGTCACTTGATTAAGGAGTGTTTGTAAGGCTTCTCACAGAGAAACTATGTTTTGCTTTTGTAATTAGTACGTATTTTGCTTAGACACATCTGACTATGGAATCCTACTTCTTACCAGACTGGAAGTCTAGGATTTATTTACGTCTATATAGTCTCATGGGGATCCCGTTACATTCAATAGTTCGGTGTCGTTCCTCTTGTTATTTTTAATCCTCATTTTGTTTAGTTATAGCTATGGGAATCCCCTCCAGGATACTTTTTGAGGAGCAGGTCTTCCTCAAGCGCTTCCTTTACTTTACTTTCTGTTAATTGTACAGTGCTCTGTTTTACCCCATACTTTCCCAGCCTTGAAATCAGTCTTACCGCCCCCAAATTGCAAAGAACACTAACAGGATATGTGTGTGTGTGTGTGTGTGTGTGTGTATGTGTGCGTGCGCGCGCGCATTAATGTTGGCTTATTAGTGCTTACAGGCAGCCTCGCTAGGCAAAATTGGAGATTAAGTATCTACCTGTATGTCTGTCTTATCTAGTCATTGGTCATCTCTATCTCTATCTCTCTCTGTATCTATCTATCCATCCATCCATCTATCTAGGAAACCATGGATTCATGCATCTTTTTAAAAAATTACTCTGTGTGTGTGTGTGTGTGTGTGTGTGTGTGTGTGTGTGTGTAAGAGAGAGACTGTGAGTGTGCTCCTCATGTATGTCACGGTATGCATTTGGAAGTGAGTGGATATCTTTCAGGAATCGGTTCTCACCTTCCTTCCTCCCTGTCCCTGCTCCAGGACTGTGTGTCCCAGGCTAGCCAGGCTGCAGGCTTTCCCTGGGACTCTCTGCCTTGGCTCTCCCACTGTAGGGATGCTGGCAACACAAATGTGCACTGCTGCATCTAGCTTTTCACTCAGGTTCTTGGGATGCAAACTCGAATTGTCGGGGGTGGGGTGCATGGTAATTAATTGTACCCACCCAGGGGTTTTAAATTCTTAATTTGATAGAGTTGTCCACATTTGTCTGGGGGGGCGGGGAGACAAACCATTTCTACCTCCCCTCTTTATAAGCTCCCAAGGTCAAACCAAGGACGGTTCACCAAAGGTCACCCTAGGAACCTGTGAGTTTGTTGAAGTCATTTACAGAACGGGGTGCAGGGTTGCTTACAGGAGCATGTTGACCCCAGAGCTGCCGCACTGAAAAGTCTTCACCTAGCTTGGATGATAGTTTTTCCCATAGCTGTGTAAAATACCCCCTTGCTTAACATTTCCCCCGGCTATGTATCCTAGAGACTCCTCTAACACCTGGAGGCTGCTGCTTGCAGAATTGCACACAAAGGCCTAGGAAGAGCAAAGGGGGGTCTCAGATGAGAGTTCAGTGACCGGCGAAGCCCCACCCCTACTGCTCCGAGGGAGCAGTCAACATACCGTTGGTAATGGCCTTCTGCAAGCAAGCACGGCTTGTCCGATGCGGATGTCAGCTGTTCTGTTGAGAGGAACTTGTTCTACAAAACACTTCTTCCCTTTCCAGATTTACAGCTCCCCTTTCCATAGTTACAACTTCTTGATATTCTCAATATGTTGGAGATTTTTTTTTACCTCTCTAGCCACACCATTTAACCACACTCCTGTTTTCTTCATCAAAATATGTACCCGTATTAATTTCTAGATGATCACTATGTGTGTGCACCCCCCCCACTCCCCTGTTGGTAAAGAGACCCAATACATGCCCACCTTGCTCTGACTCACAGTGGATCCTCCCAGCCTTCTGCAGCCATCATGCTTTTGAGCAGCCCCCAGCGACTCTTGGACTGAATTGTTCAGGAAGGAAAGGGAAGGGAGGCGGAGGAAGAGGAAGAACTCAGGGACTTCCTTGATGGGCTTTTAATTCCTTCTGGTCACAGGCCAGAGCCAGCTCTGAGGGAGGGCTTAAGGCAAGAAAACTGTCGGGGAAAGGTTTGTTCGTGGTTAGCCACAAGAACTTGGCTTTCCCTGGCAATTCTGAGCTGTCGCGTTCCCTTGAAACTGGGGCCGGGAGCTGGCTTGGCATGGCTGGGTGGCAGCTGAGCATCCTGTCCTGGGGAGAAGTGTTTGTACCACTCGATTCAGCCCCCAGCCTGGGGGCTACTGGGCAAGCAAGGTGATGGTGATACCCAGAAGTTGGCAGCCTCACGGATGGAGGGACAAGCCTATGAGCATCTTGGTTCTTTCCGCTTACGTGGAAGACAGGTACCAGTTACAGCCAGCTCTGCCTACCGTTGCATTGTTTCATTATAAAACCCTTTCAAAAGTCCATATGGCCAACGGGCAGTTTGGACTATTTGACCCACTCTAACAAAAGCACCTTGGGCTGAGTGCCGTATAAACGATAGAAATCTATTTCTTACAGTTTTAGTAGACCGGGATGTCCAAGATTAAGTTTCTAGCAAGGACCCATGTCCTGGTTTTATAGATGGAACCCCCTCTGGATGTCCTCTAGTGGTGAGGAGGAGGAAGATGGATAGATCTCTGTGGCCTCTTTCATAACGATGTTGACTCAGACCTGAAAGCATTGGTAACTGCATTTCAGTGGGTGGATGAAATTCCCAGACCACAGCAGGAATATTTTGGATTCTCCTCCCGGTCTTTGTATGGACCCTCTCACCGTCCTGCCCCCAGCTTCCGCCACATGAACGATTGTTTAGTGGGAGGACATGCTGCTGCTGGGTCTCCTAGCTGATGTACCTGTCAGGATTGGGTTTCCCCTACAAGAAGCCGGGGTCCCCGATGTTTGCTCTTGATCTACAGCAGCCTAGTCCCAACTTCTCTAGAACCTTCTTCTGGGTGGATGCTGATCTCCTTCCCCATGCCTTATTCACAGCATTCATTTTTCGTCCCTTTAGGAAGGCAGTAACTGCCAGGTATGATGCCTACCTTGAATCCCAATACGCAGGAGGCAGAGGCAGGTGGATCTCTGTGAGTTCAAGACCAGCCTGGTCTACAGAGTGAGTTCCAGGACAGCCAGGGCTGCTACACAAAGAAACCCTGTCTCCAAAAAAAAGGGGGGCACATAGTAATTTATATGAGTGTATTATCTGTCCTGATCTTGCCACACTGAGCACAGTTGTAGTATGATGCACATAGGCCCCGTGCCTTCGTATTATAGCCAGGGTATGCGGAAAAGACACCAGGCTTCCTAGAATTACGGCATGAAGAGAGGAACCAAAATTAAAGTGAATAAAAACTCACTTTTCTTTCTTTCCGTGCCTGGAACCCT